AAACCATGGAATAATTCTAAGAAAGAATCTACCAATGATGTTTGAAGTTAGAACAACAAGGATACCCAGAGGAAGAAATGAGGAAAAACGACTACAATCGACGCTTCCAAATCGATCCAGATTTTAGGTGTTTAGCTGAAAGTTAAGACTTGGTGGACGTCGAACTTCTGGACCCACACGACAATGTATTTGGAGGACAAAGAATTCCACACATTTGCTTACGATATAGACAAATCTCAAGAATAAGGAATCAGATACAATGATCTGTGTTCCTTGTGTCCTTTGATGTGCAAATAGTGTACAATACAAACTCCAAATATTCACAGAACACATCGACTTGGAAGACATTCGTCAATACAAAGGCTTGATCAAATGTAAAGTCTTAGTTCCCACTGACTTACACCATGATGTCGCAGAGTGGAATGGTGTAAGTCAGTGGGAGGTAATACTTTATATTAGATCTACAGCAAGGAACAAATTTTGGCGATGCTGAAGGCTTCTTTCAAAGTATCAGTCCCTTTGTGCACCCAAAACAATTTCTAAAATTTTCCGTATCAACAGCTTAAACTGCCCATATCGAATCGGCAAATTTTAAAATTTACTTCCTGACAGTCAAAAAAGGGTTGGAAGCGTGACACCAAGCGTTGAAGGATTGTCGTTGTCCAGTGCACATATTATTGAGGTCGTAGTAGTTAAAATCAGGAAAGTGTGTGAGGATAGCGTATTAATTGGCTTCAGTGTTGTAAAGAGTGTGGAAAAAAAACTCTGGCCATTTTTGCATTCCAAACGTTTCAGAGATTTGACTTAACGGCATGTTTAAATAAGTCATTGAATCTTTAAACCCTACTTGTCCCACATTCATATTGGTGATTTTGGGTCAGTACACGATAACATTGAAACATAGATACCTTGTCCTGAACAGTATTTTAGAAGAAAGTGTCCAGTCTATCCTGAGAAATTGTGAGCCATCACCGTAGCATAGCATTAGTTGTTTATTTAATGATGGATGTCTTATTCGCTCGAGGTGTCGTCCATAGGGTCTGTGATCCATTGGGCAACATTGGAAAGAATTACGATTCCTCTAAAACTAATTTCAAGCCGTCCCTGAATCTTGCTACAGTAGGAGCTATAAAATGATAAGGTTCTTGGATGAACATATTACAAGCCCGATGAGCGAAGCAGAAATTATGAATGTGAATGCTGGTCTCTTGCATATATTCGATATAAAAAGATGTCTTTTTCTCTTTGTGCTGGTCTCCATCCACGTTGGGGTTATATTTTTGGATGTAACATTGATGTTATAAGTTGACTATTTGGTCACAAAACGGCATAGTTTCTTCCCTTGATAAACGTGTGCCTTGGAGTTATTGATGCGAATGAGATATCCACATGTATATCATAATCTCAATAATTGGCAAGCACTTTTCTGTTATTGACCTTGTGTTATGCGATAATGTTCATAGGAGACAGGACTGCGTTGCAAACTGAGCAATGAAATCATTCTTTTCCTTCTGGAATACGATGGTTAGATGGTAAGTAACCCCAGCAAAGAATGTGTTGGTCCCAACTGCAAAACCCTTGATCAAATTTTTTCGAGGTCGAGTCCTTATCGGAGAAATCTGGTGCCAGTGGTAATGGCTTCGAAATGTTCTTGATGATATTATGATAAACGTTATGTATTTTCCTACAGGAAATTGGGCTCTCGAAACACCACAGGTCCATGAACCATTTGAGAATAGACTTTCAACGTGTAGCGAGGAGCCAATATATCTTTATGTTTTTGCATTTCAAGAATAACACATGTAATGTCTTTCGATATGAATGTCTGCTATAATAGGAAATCTGTTTCATTTGCTGCATGGCCAGGTCAGGTTGTTGAATGCTCTCCCAGACTCCGTTCCATTCTGCAGTTTCTTTCTTGTTGGCATAAGTTCGACCCACGACAGTGGTTCGGGCTTAACACATTGGTCTTGGGAACTGTTAATTTGGACGAAGTTGTGTTTGGCATTTCTGATTTCTAATAGCACATCTCTGTGCCAGCTCCCTTTACAAAAATAAACATGTGTTATGCAAATTGTGGCTTTCCATCAGTGATTTGAAACTTGTTTGATTACTGGACGTGCTGATATGTTTCAATGATTTTACAGGGAGTCCATTCTGATGGTGTGCTTAAGTCGATCCAGACTGGTGACTGCAAACTGTCTGGATAACTAAAAAGTCTCTAAGGATCGTCTATTTTTTGGCTTGGCATTGTATCTTACAAGGAATCCCACAATCAGTAATGAAACTTTCTACTTTATGTGGTGGCACTTTAGACGTGAACACAGTACATTTCACCCTGTCAGTGTCAGCAGTGGTTCTAAATTTTCTAAAATGCGTTTATGTGCCTCTCAAGTGTGGTAGTAATTTTTGGGAGCTACTGGTTGACTTTCTTTTAGAATAATCTCTCTTTGTCTTGGTTCAAATGCAGAGAGTTTGATTCATGCTCACCAAAGCATAGTCTTTGAAATCACTCACATGGATTGGAGTCAACACTTCATCTCATGTGTGAGGTGATTGGTCACATCCTTGCCTCTTTCTTCTCCTTTCTTACTTAAATGGTGCAATTGTTTAATCATGATTGCAACATTTCAGTAGACTCAGTTCTACACACAATGGGCTAATATACAGGGTTAGTGTCTTAGAGTTCGAATATTCATTCAACTCTCAAACAGCCAAGATGGATGAGTCAGCACAGCTTACCATTCTGAACAAAACTTTAAGAAGTGTCACTTTTTTCACTGTTGTCGAATCATAAATGATTGTTCTACTTCTTTCTGCTGTTATAAAGATTCCCCCAATTCTTCCTCCTGTACCTGAATACAATCCTCTATCAAAGGTAACAAGAGAGAAGGTGGTGAAGGTAATGGTGCTGCAGAATTTCTTGTGAAGACAAAAGAATGCTGCTCAGCTCAATCTGAAATCACCATGAGCTATCAGCATGATTATGGACACAGCTATTTGGAAGAGAAGGATTTATGTAGAGAGACAAGGCTGTCTAATAAGAGTCTTGCTGTATACCCATACTGTGAGATGAAGCATGAAGAAAAGATGACCAGTGAGATGCGATCAACATTAAATCTGTTTGGTTAATAACCCCATTGGTTAATTTCAGGTCCACGCAGCTGTCTAAATAAGATACTATTTCACCATTATCATGAAAGTGTATGTCGCCTGTTTTAACTCAAACTTAAATCCATGTTATAATTACCTTTCTCATTTGACCTTATAAACCCTTCTGCCCAATAAATCCATTTTGAGTCTTTAAACTCTTTTGACCCTAGAAACACTTTAACCCCATACACACTTTCAATTTTACCCTCCCCCCAACTGCATCTTGCATGTTAGTCCAATGGGACCCATTTAACATAAGATTTTTTTATGTGATTTCTTGTATGACTCCCAACAGCTCCTTTTGACCCCTTTGTCTCTCACATGTTAAATTTATGGGCCTCTTGGACAGTGGATTTCCCTTTTGACCTTTGAGTGTATCCTTTATACCACCAAATGTCTCCCACATTTTAACCCTATGAAGAAATTTAACATAGGATTTATTGTATAACACCTCAATCCCCATCTACTTTGACCCTCAAGTCCCTCATATTATTACTGACTTAAGTTGGTCTCAGCTCACAAGTGTACAAGGCAGACACGAGATCTTAAAATGTCTGAAATTCAAAAGACAGCTTGGGAAGAAATATGATGAAATATTTAGGTTGGACTAGATGAATATACAAGTTTGATGTCATGAGAGAGATGTGTTCATGGGTAACATATTTCTAAAGGGACTGTTTCAAGATGATAAGATCCTAGTCCCTGGGGTTGGGAATGGAACTATTGAGATTCCCACTGGAATGCAATATATGTACTTACTAAACAGAAGAAAAATGCACTTGTACAACTGCTGCTTGTTTAGGACCAACAAGTACATCTCTGCTTTTTTTTTTCTTTACATTACTAGTAGTGGAGACCAACCTAGCCAGGCCATATGCCATACTAAAGCATTCCCCCTCCACTTAGTTCTATCAGATGCTAAAAAGAAACAAATTTATTTTGACTAACCTTTGTATTGATGGTAAATAAAATCTCTCTTCTTTTGACCTATGGTATTAAATCCTTTAAAGCACTAACTTATTTTAGCAATAATCCCTTTTCAGAAAAGATTATGTTTATAGATAATTATTGACCTTTTTTTAAATTGCTGACCTATGCGCAGTAGACATCACCCTAAGAGTAATGGCATGACTTACCTGCAGTTCTGTTGCAAACATTAGTCAGTTCCTAGAGATAAAGTCCTCACTACAAAGCTTCTAAGCATTTTAAGTATCAAGTTCTCATTTTTAACAAGCATGATATCCAACGTAATTACTCACTCTCACCCAGTGAAGATGATGTTCAGGATACAAACCAGATTTGCATTACCTTATGAAAAGGTGTCTTGATACCTTCATGGGGATGACAAGGACAAGAGCTGCTTCAGCTTGAAAATCATAACAAGTATGGCCAGCCTGCCACAGTCAGTGTAGACAAAGATCATGTTAATTGGAGCCTCAATGGACAGACTCATCTACCAGCAGTGGAATGAATAGACATAATGATATAAGACAGGATGATATAAATAACAAGAAGCCTTGTTTTACAGATAATTGATAGAAGCTTTAGTAAGATGAGTAAAATCATCCTGCAAGAGATGGTTCCTGATAGCTAAACCATTTCTGTGACATTTTATACTAGCTGAATAATAAAAGTGAATTGACTGCTGCATATTCCAAGCATGTTTATAAAATTACAAGGTAATATAAAATTTTCAATTACATTATCATAACATTCAAGAGTAAAATAAAAATCCTTTCCTAGCCGAATTCATTAACAGATATTTTGTAACTGTTTGGTTTTGTATATGACTTATTCAATCTCACAGCATTTATTAATCTAAGAAATGCAATCTTACATTTTCTATAGACCTCTCTGGTGGCCTAGTGGTTGGAGCATCTTCCTCAGATGTAGAAGGTCACAGGTTCAAATCCCAGCCCAAGTCATATCAAAGACTTATAAAAATGGTACTAACAGATGTCACACTAGGTGCTCAGTATTAAGAGGTTAGTGTTCGGACTGGTAGCCTTGGTGTCAGGATAATGAGTTTGGGTGAGACATGATACTACTAGACATTACTATGAACTTTCACACTGCCAATATCAGAGTGATGGGACTATTTTTTTAAAGCTACATTAAAATAATAAACACAAACACACCCATGAAGCATACAAATGTTTAACTTCAGGTTGGACCCTACTGCACAAAATTCACAGGTCAGCTTCCAAAAGAGTGCCCATAGGAAAGAAAATAACCTAGTAGTCCACCACACCTTTCCGTGTACTGTAAGTGATCCATCCAGTAGAGCTGATGGATTGCAAGAACCATCTGAATAAGATGGTAATTCCTAATTTGCATCTTAGAAATGAAACCTTTAAGATGATGGAATAAAACATAATATTCAAATAATCCTTGACATACAGTGCTAAAATTTAATACTCAATAGAAAATTGAAATGTATGGTGTCTTGTTAAACTAATGGCTATGACTAATGGTACACTGCATTTTCATTTAGAATGGGTTTCCTCTGTAACAGATTCTCATTTAGACTGGGTTTCCTCTGTAAAAGATTCTCATTTAGACTGGGTTTCCTCTGTAACAGATTCTCATTTAGACTGGGTTTCCTCTGTAACAGAAATCATTATCCTGCTATTACCATTCATTTCCAACAGAGAATATGATGTACAAACCTCATGTGCATAAAGCTCCCAAAATGTATTTATGATGTGTTTTCATTGCTTATCCCACAAAACAATTATCAATGTTTTTGAAGATCCAAGTATAGATTAAGGGGAAACTGATGCTTTTAAAGTAAAGTTTTTAAGCATGTCAATATAACTCTATTTGGTCATGGTTGTTTAATGTAAGTTTGTGAAATACAACATGTCTGCCTAGCAATATACATTTGTCTTTAAGCATTTAACTGCATGCAAGGCACATAATAATAAAATGCAACACTGAAGAATACCTTATCACTGAATATGTGTATTTCAGAAAAACCAATATGAATAGCACAGATCTGGCATTGCATAATACGTTGAAAGGTCATGATTAATGCAATATGGACCCAGATCTAACATATCATAGTAAACTAATAGGTCATGGTCAATACCGAATAGGTTTGATTTGGTTTTATGTGGATTAATTCCATGTTTCAGAATGATGAGCTATACATGGCAGCCAGTATATCTGGTTCTCGAAGATCCCCGGGGAAGAACCTCTTCGGCACTGGAACATCAATGCAGTATAGATCCATATAACATTCCATAGTATATTCACAGTTCATGGCCTAAATAAACAGATCTGGATATGGAATTATATAATACAAAAACATGTCATGATTATACAGCACAGCCAAATAATTGCCATTGCATAATACACTGTAAGGTTGAGGTCTATATATAACAGACTCAGATCTGTCTTTGCATCATAACAGGTTATAATATATACATAAAAGACCCTGATCTAATACTGCATCATACACTGAAAGATCATGGTCTATGCCACAAAGACCAATATCTGACACCGCATCAAACATCACAGACTAAGATTGCAGGTCATGATCAGTACTAATACATTATGGTATACACAATACTACATCAAACAATAAGAGGACTTGGCCTATACAACACAATGACCTGCTATCACAAAACAGTTTAAGGTCAGTACAACATTTGCCCAGATCTACCAACGCATGATACACTAATAAATTACTGTCTGTAAAACATACTCAGATCTAGCATTGCACAATATATTTGCAGACTATTCAGAATGTTATAAACATCACAGACTATGATTGGCCATTTTTCAATAGCTGGTCATGTTCTATACTAATAAATTATGGTCTATATAACATAACCCATATCTACAACTTAGAATGATCTGAAGCTAACTTATTATCAACATCCTGGGTTCTTTATTGTGTCTTAGGTCAATTAAAACCAGTATACAAGAATGAAGGAAACAAATTATTCATTCCTGTTTCAGTCTGTGGAATTATTGATGTGTTCCGATATAATTTGATAGGTATCCTTTATTCAAATTATTCAATGGAATTACAAAGTGCTCATTGACTTTTTTGGACTAAAATTAAACAACTTGGGGATGGTTGTTAATTCATTCAAATACATTATCGATTATATCATTGTGATATATCAAGACTGTACATCAACATATTCAACACTATTGGTACATCAGAGTATTCAAGATTGTTGAAGTTCATTTAGAACATTCTTTCTTTAAGATTTAATTCATAATACTCTCAGTTTCTCTTACATTTTATTTGTATAACTAAAAGAAATAAATCTGTTCATTTTACTAAACTTGTTCATTTTGCATGTATTAGTTACTTAAAACCATATAGTTGTTAAAGTCTGATGCAATGCCAGATCTGGGTGTATCCTACACACCACATCTTGTCAATCAGTATATTATGCACTGCAAGATATCATGTATAGGTCATGACTTGTCTGTGTATCATGCAATGATTGATCTGGGTCTACCTTGTATAGGATATGACTTGTAAGTGTAGTATGCTAAATCTGGGTGGAGGCCATGCCATGTCAGTGTATAATACTATACAATGCCAAATTCAGGTATATTCTATACAGGTCATTGCTTTGGTTATATAATGTTTGCATTGGGTTTATTATAAATGCATATGTAAAGAACCTTAACTATCGCAATTGAAAATGTTTAAAAAAAATTCAATGGACTATTTTATGTCAACAGCTTCATTGTTATAGCACACAGTAAAAATGAAAGCTAATGAATTTGAAATTTTTCTAAATTTTCTGTTTAGATTAGTTTTGTGATATAAGTGCCACTTTTCAGCACACAATAGGCTAAACATGGTGACCAGTAAATCTGGTGGAGGAAGAATCGGAGCTGACTAATTGAAAGCTAATGGCAAGCGGCATCACTAGAATGCAGACAGAGGTGAGATATGAATGAGCTGTAAAGGAAAGCACCACATGGCCACCTGGGACCCCTGAAGTTTTGCATAAAAGATAAATACAATAACAGAAAATAAGATATCACCAATTAACTGTCTTTTCAAAGTATGTTTTACACAAAAGACAAATATAACAATAAAACAAAAATACCTCCAATTATTATTTTTTAATTCAGGTATAGTTAATGGTATATACAATATATTATTTGTATGTGTTTACCAATGCAAAATTTTGCAAACACTGATGAAGATGAGGGTCAATCGTTCATCCATTAATGCAAGGTGGAATTATCTACATAAAACTGATGTACTTTTAACAGATGGCTTCAATCACATGTAAAAACACAAAACAGGTAACATGAATACAATATAACAATATATCTAAAATCAAATACAAAATTATACATGCATGTACAGTAGAGCCTCATAATAATGTACCTCAGTATAACACAGTCACTTTTATAAGGAGAGTATGGTCATAAACCTCACTATATTATGTAATGATAAAAAATATAAAATGCACAAACATATACACTTTAGCCTTGCATTATGGTATACTTGTATTACACCCTCAACCACTTTTGCAATGGGGCATCACTGTGCCATGTATAATGTATATAATACCTATACAAGGACATTACCTATAACAAGGCATACTTGTATGGCTTCTTCAACCAGCTTTAAAACAGTGGATCAGGGCATTAAGTATAATATACCTGGTATCTGTACAATGACTTCACCTGTAACATGAAAACTTTGACTGACTCCCTCAATCAAACTTATAATGGGGCATTACTGTACTATTTATATTGTACTCATATACAAGGTAAATATAATGTAAAAGTGCCCTGGCAGATTAGATTCTGCTATTTGTTAAAAGTCATTTATTTAAACAAAAAGCCAAGACTCTGATCTGCCAGACAAAGTACATTTTTTGCATTGAATTTGCTGTTGTGAGTGATTGTACACAATATAATGTTCTTAAATGGAATCAAATGTTACACAAGAAAAATATTAAACATGAAGGAACATATTAAACAAATGTCTATAACTATAGGAATGTACAAAAATAAATGCATATATGGAATGTCTACAAAAATTAATAAATAGTCTCTTTCTAAATACAATTGACAGAAAATATATTGATTTTTATCACAATTATAACACCATATAAAATCTACTACTTAAACTGGTACTATATAGATATATTTTACCTATTCCTTTGCAGAGTGAAGTAAAATGAGTGGGAGAAGCTGTATGAATGTACAATTTGGATTTCCTTTTGAATTTTGTATGAAAATGAAAAAATTAGCATTGGTCTGAACAAGAAAGATAACCTTAAAAAAATATCAACATTCAATTTTTGGACTTAGCATTTATTTAGGTGAATAATAAGCTCTTTAATTGGTTCTAGTAGCCAACTATTGATCATTGTTGCCAATCATTGCTTGGCTTGTAATCTTTACTAATCAGGTTTTAGTACCTGGAGATATTCATAAACCTAATGTGAGTGAGTGAGTGAGTGAGTGAGTGAGTGAGTGAGTGAGTGAGCGAGAGAGAGAGAGAGAGTGAGAGAGAGAGAGAGAGAGAGACAGAGAGAGAGAGAGAGAGAGAGGGGGGAGAGCTAAGAAACAAATTAACTATTAGCTATAGTGTCAGCAAGAAAGAAAATTAAAGTAAAAATTAACATTTTAACAGTATGCTACATGACAAGAATAAAAATCATCCAATCCTTGATTTGGTTTATATAAAACAGACCAGTATTTACACAAACTGACATGCTTTGAACTATTTTATGTTATCAGCTAATGTCATTAGTTGACATGCATCCTATTTTCCATTTAAACAGTATTGTGTGAAATCAGTTTCAGAAATAAAGAAAATGTGTACCATTCAGATAAAATTGTAAATATATGCCTTAGTGCATACCAATTCAATTTATGCCAGGTTTGTTTGACTTGATAGATGAGGTTAAAAAAACTTTATGTTACT